TTACTTGTGGCGCAAGAGATGATTACGAGCATAGTAGATTTTCGATCTGCGACTTGTGTAAATATTGTCCCTATTATTTAGATTTTGCGGCAAAATTATATTATGCTAATCAAATTAATCCCAATGCAAATTTCTCTCTAAATTGACTTAGCTTATGAAAGTTAATTGGTTGACCTAGACTTAGTAAAATGTTCAAATGTGACAATGAAATCCATTCTGTAGATGAGCAAAAGTCTTGGAGACTTTAGGTCAAGTCTTAATTGAGCCAACGTAAGGAAACATGACTCAAAGTCGCGTGGTTTGTTGCCTTGTTTGGCATAATAAAAACTAATGTGTGCGCTATGGTTAGCGGCACGCTACGTAGTTTTGGTTAGCGAGTTTTGGAGTTATGAATTTAGTAGCGCCTCAATAGATCTGTATATGATCTTGACTGATTGAGCTGCCAGATTGACTTTGTATTTGACTTGTAAATAATGTTACATCATTAGTGAAGTACATTCAAGAGTCACGTTCATCCAAGAAATTGCGAGCTTAAATAAATTAGTCATTAAGTGTAAGATGGAGTAGGCAGTATGAGTAGTGTTTTGTTTCTCTACCCAAATTATAGGAGTGGATGGAGCAAAATTTTCATACACTATAATATGTGTCGTTGAAATTCACGTGAAGTTAAAAGATTAGCGCTTAGAACTACAAAATCTAGTTAACACTAAAGTTAAAAGATTAGCGCTTAGTGGCGCTGCAAAATCATTAACACTACGTGAAAAGATTAGACTTAGAAGCTGCCAAAATCTATTAGCATTGCCAACTTGTATAAGTCTGGACACTTACTGTTTCCACACTTGAGTGTGAAGACATGAGGAGGGGCTTCTTTGTATGATACTTAGCTAGGCTTAACGTCTTTTTTTAATAACTTAGCACTAAGCGCAAACGTTGCGGCATAGTGAGGAAAAGGTCAAGGCCGACAAGGTGTTATGACTCTAAGAAATTTGACGCATCGCTTGTGAGAGATATTGTGTTGAATTAGACTCTTTAGCCTAATTTGCGCTTTAAGTTACTTTGGAGCTGTCATAGTTGATAGCTTATTCTCTCTTTCTTGTGGATAGTAGAATTAATTGCAAGTAATTATGAAGCGCGAATAGATATGGCAAGAGGAGTATCGTCATGTTTCAACTAGATGCAGTAAAGTGTATGGAGAATAAATTGACTTGAAGGTGCAGAGATTAGCACTTACTAGTTAAATTTGCGACTATAGGCCACTTGATATCTCCATGACATCTTTTATGATCTAGTGAATATGAATTAGTCGTGGTCATTACCTAGTTGGGCCTAACCTTTAAAACTTGTCTTCGAGAACTCACACATTAAGATGATTGAATTAGTTTATGACATTGGTCATGAACCAGTGCTTATTATACTTAATCACATTAATGAGATGATGACACGATGGTTTGAGTAGGCCTTCTCGGCCCACTCGCTTATGACATCCTGCTCTTCATCGTGAATGTGTAATTGGTTCGCCAATGGGTGTGCAACGAAGTAAGTAGGAAGCCGTAGAAGGTCCATTTGTTTTGGCCGGCATTTAGTCCCTATGATATTGTGACTAGATAGATGTGAGGGTTATGATACTAAGGCTCAATCTCGACACATTTATAATTACGATACGCATCTGATCAAGATATTTGATCTCCATAGTCAAAAGTTTTGAGATGATTTTTGACATTGCCAACATAATGAGGCACGAGAATCGAATTAGATAAGAGCTTTTGTGCTTTTTAAGTTTTTGTACCAGGTGGCGAGTAATCTATTTTGAGTATTTTTTAGAAAAACTTTGTGAAAGAGAATGGAATGCTTAGAGACAATTGATTATTCCTAGTACTCAACAACACAATGGTGTAGTAGAGATAAGGAATTAAATATTGTTAATGTTGGTGGTATGGCGCAAGATGTTTCCCATTGGAAATTGCACTAGTTTGTTGGCCTATATCCCTATACTAAGAGACCCTCCATATAGATTTTACATCTCCAATTTTGGAGTAATAGGTTAGCGAAGAGCCATCTATTGGCGATCCTATAATCGTTAAGCCAGCTTTATCTTTATTTACTCTCATAGTTGCGAAGTAAGACCTAGGGTTCTATAGCGGCATTATTGTATGCTTGTCTGTTAAATACAAAGGGTCCTGTGCGCATTATTGGTAATGTGGTCATGCAAAACCCTCAGGGTCATTGTGCATATAGGTAAGACTTTGTGGTGTGTAACTAAGTCACTAAAGTTTTATTTGGTAAAGGTGACGTGATAGAGTTTTTGGAGCTCTATAAATAGATAAGTTTCTAAAGATACGCGCTCTATGTTGCTTATTGAGAATGGAAAATTTTTTTTTCATATCCTAAGGGACAGTGGAGCGATGTGCCTACTATATGGATTACTCCATTAGAGAAGAATCCTCTACATTCTTAGTTGCGTAGTAAGCAATTGTGAAAATTTTTCACGTCTATCACTGGGTGTTGAGAGGAAACATTCATGATTGCTCCGCAAGATGATAAGAGCCTAGGATAATTCAAAAGGCTCTAGTCCCCTGTTTTTAGAAAGTGGATAAAGTTGCGCAGTTTAAGAACCAAAGTCTTTGAGGATTACAATTTCTATAATTTTGGTTACTTTCCATTATGACGCAAACTGTTCTAATTTAGCGTTATTTTGATAGTTTATTGTTGAGGGCATAAGGCTCGCTAGATACCGAAAAGTCCGCACCATTGAGAAAGAAGTGTAGACCGTGAGAAAGATTTTCTCTTTGGAGAGTGAGGTTATTTCGACTTAGGCTATGAGTTGACATAAGTTCGGACATTGTTTGTGGACATTGTGACCCGATTTCTCATTAGAGAATTGGATAAGGTAGATTCGTAGGGATTTACCTTCTACTTTTTATGGTGAAAATTAAGGAGCGCAAAAAGGGTTGATAGTTCCAATAATCTTTACAGCTAAAGCATAGTTATCCAACAGTGGTTCTTCAGATTTCGGTCAAACCGCGATAGGCCAACTGATGATCGATAAAGACCACTGAGGCATGATCAACGGTCCAAAAGAAGTTTTATTCCCTTACTTAGTCATTAATTGATGCCAGGAATTTATAAGGTTGTCCGCAACCTAGGGTGGGCAGTCCTCTATTTTAGATATGCATGGAAATGGGTGATGTAATTATATGGCTCGGATGTACGATCCTTAGGGATTGTTTTAGAAAAATCTTGGTTGTCTTCGATGACTCACATAAGGAATATCCTAGAGACATTCTAGATGCAAAATTGCAAAACCATTGATTACCCTATCGGTAAAAGCCCAGAGCCTTAAGCTATGAAGTGAATCCTCGGATTGTCTTTGGGAGAAACAGATGACCTATATTCCTTGATCTTTTCTTGTTTGGGGAGCCTAAATTGTACGTTATGTGGGCGTATTCGGCTGATAGTGTTTGATTTTGGTAAATGGTCCAACTGAGTTGTTTAAGACATTAACTTTTTTTCATTAACTGTGGATAAAAATGCTTTACTAGAAGCATATTAATTTGCTCCATTGTAAGATTCAATGTGCTAGTTGGGTGGCATCTGTGCTAGTTGGGCGCATTAAGAAATGAACGACAATTGGTCACCAAAATATCTTTAGAAAGGTTATTGAGCAAAAGTAGTGATCTTAAATTACTTCATAATTAGGCGCCATCGTGGATTCTCGTGTAATATACTTATCGCAAGGAGTGCTGATAAGCGCTTATGTTTGGAATCTATAATTGCGCAAGCTGTGGTTTTTTTTAAAATCAATCACTATTTTGAGATGATGGGTATGTTGACACTATTATGTTTGTGTCATAATGATTAGCAGATTAAATGATGTCCAGTCAGGTTTTAAGGATTGGATTGACTCTCCGACTTCATCGGATAGCGAAGTACTCACGCCCTTTGCGAGTTTGGGGCAGCGCGATCGCAAGAGATGAGACTAAGCTGATACTTTTTTTGGAAGGCCGAGAGGTATCGATGGCCACAGTTGACTGTATACGCACGTCGATTGGTTATGTGTCACAACCAAGAATGCAGGATGATGGCTATTATAATTATAAACATGGAGTTGCGTTAGATATGACCAGCCTTGCAATTATCCAAAATTCAATTTAATTTATGCGCAAAATATTGGTTTTAAACAATTATCCAAAATTCAATTTAATTTATGCGCAAAATATTGGTTTTAAGGAGTAAATCTACAAAGATTTCTCTCAACCGAACAACCTCCCACTGACTATGGCATGTCAAAAAGCATGATAAATTCCATACAATAGCATCTTCATGTAAATTTACAAACAATTCATGCTATATAATGTGTACATATATATATGATTAAGAAAACACGAAAATACCCAACTAGGCTCTGATACCAATGTAAATCAGCAGTATAACGCAGCGAAATAAAAATTATGGTCATACCTTTCCTGCAGAGTCTGAATAGAAAAGATCCCGTGGGTAAATCACGTGCTTCCTGAATCTAATCAGTCAACCCAGTAGTGGGGTGATATTACAACAATGAATATCACCCACACAAATCACAGTACAAACGGCTTTGATCGTTGTTTTTGGGAGAGAGTCAGAATATGGGAAATTTCTGAGTGTTTTAGACTTGCTAGAAATGTTTATTTTATACATGTATAGAGGAGAGAGGAAAAGCCTCCAGCCTTTATGGCTGGTCATTAATGCACCATTAACCTCTGCAATAAAGGCAGGAGTCACAAACCCCATTAATGCAGGAGTTACAGTTATAAATTCAAAGCATTGAAATGGTCATGTCACATGGGCGCCCATTTCTAACAGTTTGTCTGTGTATACTCTTGATTTCCTTTGTGTTGTTCAGATTGAGCTATGAAAATAGTTTGACATGTGTTATATTTTGTTAACATCTCAAAATTATCAGCAGGATCAGATTGACTTATTGCTGCTGGAAGCAGCTCTGCAACACTACACTTAATAATTTCTTCAAAATTAAGAGGAAGGAGACCAAGTAAAGCATTTACGGTAGCAATTTGACTAGGCATGCCCAATTTCCTTGAAGAGCTCTGGCACAGAAAAGCAGACAATCTGCTTTTCAGGTTTTCAACACCCTTGTTTCCATAACCATTAGCATCAACTCCAAGCCTGTATAAACACAACATAGTTAAGCAAATAGTTTCTTTTACAGGGTAAATTAACTATAATAAGTTGAATTCAGGCAAGTAAAAGCACCAAAAACTTGGCCCCAAAACAATATGCAGTAATCATAAAATGGAAGGTTTGTGTTTTTTATTTTTTTATTTTTAACTGCGCAAGATTCCAAGCAAAGGTACCATAATTGCACTGCAACCTTTTACCATTGTGACATTACCATTAGAGCCAAGGTATCAGGACACAGAAAAGCATACATAAACTCAAAACATGCAAGAAAACTCTATACAAAAAAAAAAAATGGAAAAATTTTCACCTAGACAGTCCTAGTCTGAAGTATCTGGATGTAGCCAACCAGCAACTTTTTACTATTTTTGTTCTGCATAGGGCCATAGTTCACAAAAATTCTCAGTGAACAAATCTTAAACAATTACCTCAACCCATATCTATGTGATTATTTTTTAGTCCTTCCAACAACAATATTGGGCTGGGAAGTATTGTCCTTGAATGTTATTCCACATTATTGCAACTGGTCTTCATTACACAAAATCATTACCACTATCTGAACCAAAACCTTCCATGTCATATAACTAATCAATCTCAACATTATCATTCCACAAATTTCTTCTTGAATTAATAAATTAAAACCAACACGCGCCTAGGCCTTGGCACAAGCAGTTAAGGGATTCATATGTAACATTCAAGTCTTAGCTTTGATTACGAGGGATTCATCTGTAGCATTTAAAAATAAAAAATTCTCAACAAAAAATCAACATAATAAAAACCTTGCCTCAACTATTTTGGAGCAAAACTTGGCAATTTTACTATTTTTGCTCCATCTAGGGCCATAGTTCACATTTAACAATTTGCCTTCATAACTAGCTCAATCCACACCGATGTGGCCATCCTTTAGTCATTCCAGAAAACAATAGTGTGTCCTAAGAAGGATCATCTTACAGTATCACTAAAATCTGATTCCACTACTGGTATGTATAAACATGGGCATAGAATCTAAACTGAATCTTGTCCACACCTTGCCACTAATCCATCTGAACATCCTTATTCCAACATGACTTCAGAAGATCCTTTGCTAGAGAAGTAATGCTTCTATTCAGCTTGTTTGGAAATTCACCAATTTTGATAGGTATAAGCAATGAAACGTGACTCACACATCTAGTTCTTAGAACAATTGTCGGTGACTAAATTGTGCTGTTTTTAATAGGTGATGAAAAACAAAAGCAGCATTGCTTTGTGCACTTAACAACTGTAATGACGTATATTCATATCCGAGGGCAGCTACTCAGTGCAAATAATGCTAAAGGCTAGGTCTTAAACTAGGACCAACACTGCAATGTGATGAGACGAGGGAGAAACTCTGGGGCAAGGGGAAGAAAGAAAGAGAGGAGCTAGGGGAGGGAGAGCAAAATGCAACTTCCATGCATCTAGATCACTGAATAAAAGTGATAGAAAAGAATGAGAACAGAAGGAAGGGGAACACAACCGTTGCTTCTCAAACATAAACATATGGCAAGAAGAAAAAAAAGGACAGAAACCACAAAAGTTTTTGAAATCTTGACCTCTTACATATTAAAAAATTCATCATAATTTCCAATTCCAATGATGCATAATTACCTTCTCAAAGATAAGCCAATCCTACACAGTATTATTACACGATGTAACTTTCTTTCCTTTTTTTTCTCTTTTTTATTTATTTTCCCTGGTTAAGAGATACATGTCCCAAAAGAAACTTGGACACTACACCTCCCTATTTGAGACTAACTTAATAACCAATGGTAAAAATACAGGACCCTAGTCAATTCTAAAACTTTTCAACTTTTCTCCTTAGAACCCAAAGATATTAAGGTACGATCCTATAGAACATATCATGTTCAAGTTAGTTCATCAATTCTAAAACCTTGAACATCAAAACATAAGCTTGTTTGGTGTCATTTTCATTGTTTTTGTCATCATTTCCAGTCCTTCATTTTCCAAAATTTTCAGAAATGAAAATGATGTGGAGTTTGGATACATAATCAATTCTGAATCATTTTTCTTAATGATCCAAATTTTTGTAAATGAGCTGTCGTGAGGAAAGTCTCTCAAAAATAGTTTCCAAAAACAGCTCCATAAAACTTGTTATCAGTGTTTTCATTTTCACAATTTTCAATTGTAGGGAATTAAAAATGATACCAAACAAGTCACAGAAATTCTGCAGTATTCTAAAGAATCCTAATAAAGCGCCAATGACTAAAATACATCAATTGCTACATCTTCCCATGGTGCCACATCATACTTTCCCTTTATTCATCCATACTCTTTTAACTTCTAAAATTTGCATTATGTTCTAAATTCTAGTCTCTTAATTTATCATTACAAAGCATATCTCTACATCCTATCCCAATAGTAATCAATAAATTGTTCAATCTACTGATCACTAAATAGTATAATTCATAAATCAGAAAGCCTAAGGCCAACAATACCAAACCAAGCCTCATGCCTCTCAATCGAATTCTTTTTCTCCATTCCGCTCTGTCAATGGCTATATACTTCAGGCCCACAATATCAACAAAATTCACTTGTCTATTCATATGTCCTGTAATATGGCTCTACATCTACTTGATATCATTTCCTGCTATCTCTTCTTTATTCCCAATTCCTCTTAAATCTACGCGTATATTTGCGGATTCATCTTGTTTAAAAACACCATATGCAAATTATGAGAAGGTGGAATGCTTTTTGTTGTTGAGATGTAGCCTTATTTTTATTTTTTTTGATAAATAATCAGATTTTATTAGATAGCATCAAAACAATGCAAAGAATACAAAGATGCAACCTAGGTAGGGACTGAAACAAGACTAACTAATCAAATCCTCTACAAAATCTACGAAGACCAAAACATTTGGCTCAACTATACCCGTAACCCAACTATGCAACACCAACAACCAGCTACGCTCTAACCAAGAGACAGAGTGACACATCCTGAAACACTCGCCTATTACGTTTTAACCAGACCAATCAAAGCAAACAATGGGAAGCAAGCACCTAAGCCTTCTGGCGCCTCTTCCCCACTCTAGCCCCACCCCAACTCTGTAACACCCCCTAAAGAGACCCCGGTTGCACCCACACTCAATGATATTTTTAAAAGGGTATGGCTTCTGTCCAGTCCGGGATCGGACTGGACCATGCTGTTGGGCCCGTGGGGGCCACCACGGGTCCCGTCTTGATAATCTGAACCGTTCAATGTGTAGAACTCGTCGAGTACTATATACTTATAAAAAGTCATGTTGATCGGATATCGATAACTATATAATCAAATCAGTTTTGTATTAAAAAAATTAGACGGTGAACAAATTAACGGTTGACAAAAAACTGTTTTGATCACATAGTTATCGATATCCGATCAACGTGATTTTTTACATGCATATAGTACTCGACGATTTCTACGTATTGAACGGCTTAAATTATCAAAACGAGACCCGTGGTGGGCCCCCACGGGCCCAACAGCACGGTCCAGTCCGATCCCGGACTGGACAGAAGCCATACCCTAATATAATAACAATAATGATTATTTTGATTGAAAATAAATAAAGAGACTACGATGTTATTATCTATGAAAATTTCAATATAATGGTGATCTCTATCATTCTTGATTTACAAACATAATTAATCTCAATAAAAATATAAAATTTATTGAATTGTTAGTGACATTTAATATGTAGGGTTCATCCTCCATGTGTTTCTTTATTATTGGTTAGTAATATCACATGTCAATGATTGCGTGATATGATTATTATATTGAATTTTTATGCATAATTTGTATAAAAAATTACTTTATCATTATGTAATTTATTTTTAAACTTTACATCCATGACTTTTTTTAATATTGTCCATCATATACTAATTACAAATAACATATTCACTTTGTTTGGTTTGAGTTTTCTAAAAACACTTTTCAAAAAATTCTGCCTTTTTATTTTTCGTATTTTTTTATTTTTATTCAATTTTTTTAATAGTTTAAGCAATTTTTTTTTTTAATTTTTAGACACACCTAACATAAATATACTTAAAATGTATAATTTTTTGCGAAAAAATCTTTAAAAAATTCACTAAATACCAAAATTATAAAAAATACAAAAAATCAATACATTTTTCGTATTTTTATGTATTTATTAATTTTTTAAAATATTTTTTCACAAATATTTTACTTTTTTAGATACATCATGCATCTAAAAAAGTAAAAAAAAAAATGCTTAACATTTTAAAAATATTCAGTAAAAACAAAAAAAAAATAAAAAATAAAAAACTTAATTTTCAAAAAACTTAATTAAAAAAACTCAAACTAAATACATTAATTATTATTATTTTTTTTTCTTTTATCTTTCTTGAAGTAAATCGTAAAAATTTATGTGAAATATTTTTATAAATATTTTTAATATTATAATTGAAAAACACCACCTCTGATTTATTTTCTTAGTGCCACAACCTCGCACTAGAATATCAAGTTGACACAGTGCCTAAAAAGAAGATGCATTAGTCAATAATAACTTTCATATTATTCCAAAACTGAAGCAACCATATTTCTTAGTGCCGCAACCCCGCACTAGAATATCAAGTTGACACAGTGCCTAAAAAGAAGATGCATTAGTCAATAATAACATTAATATTATTCCAAAACTGGAGCAATCATATCCTTACCTTCCCAGTTTACCAAGAAGAATAATAGTAACAGTGGAAAAGTTCTCTAGGATACACATGATTCCAACAATTTCAACATCTGGTAGAGAATGTTGTTGCACGTCCAATCCCAGCTCTGCAAATCAAGAAAAGAAGTACAAAGAAGTCAGAGAACAGTTCTCAGAATCTTGCTGAAGAAAAAGCAAGTAAAATATAAAACATATTTGAAAGAAAAGGAAAAAGGAGTGGGTATATTTAAATTAAACATCTTTGCAACTTGCAAGTGATAGTACAGTCATAAAGATTTTCAAAACATGAATAGTCCAAATCTATTTACCATTTTACAGAAGCTTTAGTACAATATTCAAACTATCCAAAACAAGGGGCCAAAAGAAAAAGAACCAGACTTCCTTAATATTCAAGGTTGATATCAATATTTTAAAAAATATAGCAATTAATGTCACACACACACGCAAAAAAAAAAAAAATCCAACTGATAGCAAAGTCATGTCATAAAGATAACGCTCCTAAAATAATTTGAATACAGCAATATTAGGTATCATGAAAAATCTTTTATGAAAATAATCTTAAAAACTTTGTGATCCTTGGATTACACTTAGAATAAAGCATCATACACTAATTGTTGGAAATGGTTAATTTTTTCCTAAGTTCGGTCTATTTTTTAGGTGGGGCCCGATGTCGATTTACTCGGGTCAAAGTGGTAACGCGTTCTATGCCGCGTTTGTGATTCACGTGGTATATTTGGTTGCTCAAAACCATTACCGAGTGAATGGGAAATTTGAAGCCAAAGTGGCTCCATGAAAATGGAGTTTTGGTGGAAATTCCTTAAGGTTGTAAATTGCTGTCCCACATTGATTTGGTGGGAGGTTTGAAAGGGTTATAAGGCCTTGGGTGAGATAACTTGGCCCTTCCCGTTTTTCAAACAGAAATAAACTGTTTGGGAATTAGTGTTCATCCAAACAGGGCCTTCCTGGTTCAAACAGAAATAAACTGTTTTGGAATTAATGCACACCAAACAGGGCCCTTCCCGTTTGACTATCTGTTTGAATTATTCAAATCTGTTTGAATTCAAACCCAACAGGTATGATACCTGTTCATTCAAAACCAAGAGTTACATACCTGTTTAATTCAAATGAAGAGCCCCCTTCACATCTATAAATAGGACCACCCTCATTTGGATTTTGTAACTCTAATTTTCGTCCTTC